ACACGCGGGAATCCACCTAGCAACATGGTGTTGTTGCGGCGCGTGTTGTAATGTTGAAACCTCCCCCACCTCCGATATACTCGACATTTTTCAGGTTCAGGTGTGGGGGTGGTCAGAGAGTGGGGTAGATTATCCGCAGGTTTACTTTCACCATAATCCCGCAGGAGTCACCGCGTTGCCTCAGCCTGCTGAAGTTCGTGGTGGACATCGTCAAGAGCGACGGTCGAACAGATTAGCCGGAACAACTCGGGGGTCAGTGAAGAGCACAGCAGGCATTATTGGAGATTCGTGCCTATAACGAATGCTGCAAGACTGGTGTGATTGCACGCCTAGACGCAAACTCGCGCTGCACCAGCTAATTGCTGCCTTTTTGACTCTAGATTGGCACCGGGTCGATGTGGACCAGGGAAGAAGACTGCAGTAGATGCTGCAGACGTCTACTATCATTATAAAGTAATCCAACGTCCCTGCGCCGACCATGTTGTGGAGCATACGGTGGACATAATAGGTAAGGGCGGTCGAACTGTCGAGTCTAATGTACTTCTAAGTTGAGATTTTGTTAGGTCTGCTCAGAGAGCCTTTTGGACGCCGATGAGTTAGTTCAACAGAGAATTACACAATTTTAAAATTGGAAACATTTCTACCAGGTTATCGGGAAAAATAGGGAAAGCTATCACGGATTGGAAACGTCAACCACTTGATGATTTTGAAATATCGACGGTGCGGTGCCCGATCCTGTGTTGTTGATCTACAGACGACGCAAGTCCCAATCGTGCAGGTACGGGATAATCGGCGATTCTATTCCATCCTACGGCACAAACTTCCTGGCTGTGCGAGCTTTTCCATTTCTCATAATCCATGCTCTTATTATTAAAATTACGGAACAGGCTGAGTTTTTGCACTAAAGTTTTCGTTAGATGCCTGATCAGGTGTCGGTGCATCATAACACAGGGCTCCTAATCCACCGGTAGACTGTGACTCTGGGGTGACCTTTAGACAGTTTTTATGTGAATAAAGCATATCTGCCAACCCCCCCCCACCCCTAACAAATAAGTGAGTCTAGCAGT